ATGGTGTGTTGAAAAAATAATTTTTGAAATCAGGCTGAAAGCCGATAATTCCAGAGGACCAAAGAGCAACTTCCTTTGACAAAGTTGCAATTTCCAAAAGAGTACCAAATAATCCAAGGGTAGCAAATGATTGGGCAATGATAAGCACAAAATGGAGGGCCAATATGCATTTTTCAAAAAAGGAAGTGCAAGGTGAATACGAAACATAATTTCAATTCCACATCCTAACCTTGTTACAATATGTGTCAACATTGATTTCCATGTACATAGAAATCAATTTAAGAGGAAAGCTGACAACTAATTTCAACTCAACATAATAACTTTGCAAAAACATGTCTTAACAGTTGAAAAAAAAAAAAAAAAAGACATCACATGTTTTATCTAACATATCCACATGATTGATCGACACCTTCACAACTTCAATCGACAGGCTACACCAATAACATCGATCCTAAAAGTTCAGATACATTCTAAAACCTAAAAGTTCAGATACATTCTAAAAGGCTCGCCAAAGTTCAAATAAATTCTGCCATCGTTAGGATCAATCCTAGCTCCTCTAGGATCGACCTCTGTCCGCGATGAATGAAGAAGTTAACCTTATGTGGTTCAAGTTGAGTTTTAAGGCCTCCGTCCAATAGGATTGAAGAGGATGGGTGATCGTTTCTTCCCATCAACAACCTGCTCTCTCCATGTCCTGAAGTTAGGAATCCTATTTAACATCATCCTTGTGATCTGAGTCGGTTGTGAAGATGCAGGGAGAGAGTATGAATAACAACTCTTTAAATAGGGTGATCGTTTCTACGCGTCAACTTCTTGATGTGTTCGTATGATTACAAGTGAACACAAATATAAATTTCCTCATAAATAGCAATCAATTATGTTAGACTATTCGACCTCAAAAATTGGCCTGAATGTCATTACTAGTAAACAAGCTTACAAGCTTATAGACAACTTTTTGTTGAATATGGATAAAGAAGAAAGAGACCTTGTGGATAAATTGGTATGATTGGAGTGCTAAGGAGTTTGTTTGCGTTACAAATTGCAGAATACTCCTCTTGGTAGAAACGTGACAGTTATGAAGAAGACTAGAATTAGCGACCACAAAACGATAATGTCGTGGGCAGTTAATACTGGAAGATTAGAATAAATGTCAATTTTTTATCCATTTCCAATCCATAATTGGATCCTTAATCCATTCAAGAACAACTTTATTTATCATGGGCATCCAATTTCGATATGTCATTGCTTTCAGTAACATTTAATTAGTTATTTATAACATCATTTTAGAAAAAAAAATCTAACATTTTAATTTTTGTGGTGACATCACAATTTACTCTCTAATTGCATTTCATTTGGCTCAAGAAAATGACATATTTTGGGTAATATGTGCTCGCATATTCCTTAAATGAAATATTGAAAAGACAATTACTCTTAAAAAAAAAATAGAGTGCAATTCTACTAATAATTGTGAAGAGCAAAAGATTGTGATGTCACCACAAAAATTAAAATATTATTTTCTTGATAAAGTACAATGTTAGGAATATCCGAGCTTCAATCAAAGCCTTAAATGATCTCGACCCATTAATACTTGTGGTCCAACCTAAATCCAAAATATGATTAAGAAAAGCGGACCCAACCCACAAGAGTGTAATAATATATCACGAAGTTTGATTAATTACTGTATAGCATCTAATATTCATACCGGCGAATTATATTTCTTGAATCTGCAGGACACATTTTACCAAATTATACATCCAAAAGCAATGCAAAATCTGTATAATCAAAGTCATCAAATTTGAAATAGACAATACAAAACCCATAAAAGCAAAACCTACAGTATTCAAAGTGATCTCTAAACATAATATCTGTGTTAGTACCCGCCCACTCGTCTTCACCCACACAAACAGAAACCAAGAGATTTCGTATTACCAAAACTAGAAGTTCTAGAAACAGTAGTTTATAAACAGTGACACATACCTCCTCTAAGGTAAATAAACCATCTCCAAAAGTGAAATAATCCTAGCATGACCAACTTTAAGATACATTATGGCAGTTATGGATGCAAAAATTCACGCAACCAGAAACGATAACATTTCCTACAAATAATTCACGCAACCTGAAACGATGACATTTCCTACAAATAATGTCACTACAAATGGCACCGATATGGTACCGACCGAGGACACTCCGATGGTCAAGTAAGTGAGCAGAGACTATTCAATGAATCGCTATTAATTTTTTACCCCACCTCATTTACTGGTCGACCTTCTATTTATTGTCGTCCTCGTGACCAGAATTGTGAAGATGAAGGTAGAGAAGATGAACCTTATCTCCTCTAACAACTCCGACAATCTTCGTAAGTAGAAGTATCAAATGACGAGGCTATGTTGATACACGTTTTGATAATATCCGAGAGTCAAAAAAACTGAATGGATGTTTCATCCTTGCTTGCTTCCTCCTCCTCTTCCTTTCATTCTCTTTTTCTTCACTTCCTTCCAACCAAGTAAGGAAAGTTTATTCCATCCCTCATCCCCTTTTCGTGAAGGCAAAAACTTTATTGCAAGAAAACAAGTACAATACATCAACAACAACCAAAACAGTCAACCAAATGGTAAACTTCTCTATTCTACTCCTTAAAGCCCACCAACTACTTGATGTGCCACACCACTAGGCTCATGAGATACGGAGAAAAACCAATAAATCACCATGAACTTACCAAGCTTCTTCAAGAAGACAATTTCTGCTCCATTAGAAGATAAATTGGAATGGCTTTTGAAGATGATGTGTTGAAAAAATAATTTTTGAAATCAGGCTGAAAGCCGAAAATTCCGTAGGACCAAAGAGCAACTTCCTTGTACTAAGTTGCAATTTCCAAAAGAGTACCAAATAATCCAAGTGTAGCAAATGATTGGGCATTAATGATAAGCACAAAATGGAGGGCCAATATGCATTTTTCAAAAAAGGAAGTGCAAGGTGAATACGAAACATAATTTCAATTCCACATCCTAACCTTGTTACAATATGTGTCAACATAGATTTCCATGTACATACAAATCAATTTAAGAGGAAAGCTAAATAATGACAACTAATTTCAACTCAACATAATAACTTTGCAAAAACATGTCTCAACAATTGAAAAAAAACAAGAAATCACATGTTTTACTTAACATATCCACATGATCGATCGACACCTTCACAACTTCAATCGACAGACTACACCAATAACATCGATCTTAAAAATTCAGATACATTCTAAAAGGCTCGCCAAAGTTCAAATACATTCTGCCATCGTTAGGATCAATCCTAGCTCCTCTAGGATCGACCTCTGTCCACGATGAATGAAGAAGTTAACCTTATGTGGTTTAAGTTGAGTTTTAAGGCCTCCGTCCACTAGGATTGAAGAGGATGGGTGATCTTTTCTTCCCATCAACAACCTGTTCTCTCCAAGTCCTAAAATTAGGAATCCTATTTATCTTCGTCCTTGTGATCTGAGTCGGTTGTGAAGATGAAGGAAGAGAGTATGAATAACAACTCTTTAAATAGGGTGATGTCAACTTGTTGATGTGTTCGTATAGTGAACACAAATATAAATTTCCTCATAAATAGCAATCAAAAATTGGCCTGAATGTCATTACTAGTAAACAAGCTTACAGGCTTATAGATAACTTTTTGTTGAATATGGATAAAGAAGGAAGAGACCTTGTGGATAAATTGGTATGATTGGAGTGCTAAGGATTTTGTTTGCGTCACAAATTGCAGAATAATCATCTTGGTAGAAACGTGACAGTTATGAAGAAGGTTTTCAGAATTAGCGACCACAAAACGATAATGTCGTAATTTCAATTCCTATCAAATCCAAAGGTTCCAAACAGAGTGAAGGAAATGAAGACCAAATGGGCAGCAAACCAAGAACAGGTACTACTTTATCTATTAACTGGAAGATTAGAATAAATGTCAATTTTTTTTTTATCCATATCCAATCCATAATTGGATCCTTAATCCATTTAAGAACAACTTTATTTATCATGGGCATCCAATTTCGATATATTATTGCTTTCAGTAACATTAGATTATTTATTTATAACATCATTTAAGAAAAAAATCTAACATTTTAATTTTTGTGGTGACATCACAATTTACTCTCTACTTGCATTTCATTTGGCCCAAAAAAATGACATATTTTGGGTAATATACGCTCGCATATTCCTTATATGAAATATTGAAAAGACAATCACTCTTAAAAAAAAAAAAAGAGTGCAATTCTACTAATAATTGTGAAGAGCAAAAGATTGTGACGTCACAACAAAAATTAAAATGTTATTTTCTTGATAAAGTACCATGTAAAGAATTTGTGAGCACAAAATATCCGAACTTCAATCAAAGCCTAGAAATTATCAAATGATCTCAAACCATTAATACTTGTGGTCCAATCTAAAAGCAAAGCAAAATCTGTATAATCAAAGTCATCAAATTTGAAATAGACAATGCAAAACCCATAAAAGCAAAACCTACAGTATTCAAAGTGATCTCTAAACATAATATCTGTGTTAGTACCCGCCCACTCGTCTTCACCCACACACACAGAAACCAAGAGATTTCGTATTACCAAAACTTGAAGTTCTAGAAACAGTAGTTTATAAACAGTAACACATACATCCTCTAAGGTAAATAAACCATCTCCAAAAGTGAAATAATTGTTCCCTACTAGACCTTAAGAATCAATAAACATCACCAAAAACATTAAATAATTTTTAAAAAAATCCACAAAAATACAAAATATCCAAATCTCCCAAGTCATCCAACATGCTTTTCTTCGGTGACTTGTCAAATCTCAACTGGCGGGGGAAAAAAAATTCTAGATCCATCTGTTCAGATCAAAACCGTCTACAAGGTCGCCTACAATGAAACTAGACACACCAAAAAAGAAAACATCGGAAAGAAAAGAGATGCAGAAGTATTTTTCAGCCTCTTTTTTAGGATGTATAAGAGGAGAGCCTTCAAAACAGAACATCAATTTTATATTCTTAAAGTTTAAAAAAGATAAATTTTATTTACACAGTATACACTACAATTGCACTTGCTCTAACACTATCCAACCAAGAAACAAGAAAGTAAATCTAGGGAAACAGACATTCTCCACGAGAGAGAACATGTATCAAACAAGAAAGAAAAAGAAAAGCAACGATACCACCTATATCAAGGACCTTCCAATACTTACAGAGAAATATATAGCTGTAGAGAACAAAATACATTTTAGAAGCCAATCAGAAGATCAGTCTGGCTACCGGAGGTCACGTACAAACTTTTCACCTCACTTGAAAAACTGAAAACGGTAAAACTTAAATGCCAATATCTCCTCCACATAGGAGTCCAGCCATCAGAACCGCAAACCACCGCCAAAAAAAAAAAGAAATCTCCTGCAGATAGAGTGGGCAAATGATGCAACAACAACTATGCTTAAACAAAACAGTAATTCTGTCCTCAAGCTTATCAACAGTTCATCAGAAATTAGAACTGCTACCAAATATAAAACACAGTCACATGAAATTCCTACAATCAACATAAATAAATAAATAAATGAAAATTGTACCAATAATCAAATAGGAAACAATAACAGTAATGAACTGCACTACAAAAGCACAAATGGATTAACAGTAATGGCAGCACGTGCTCCACATTTCTGTGCTATACATCCTACTTCCGGAAGTAGGATATAAGATTTTGCCATGATTTTGTTTTGCCTGAATTGCAACCAACAAATAACCTGCAGCCTAAAGCATTACAATAAGTGATGCAGGATCGGGTAGGGGCGATTCGAAAATAGAATTCAAGTAAATAAGAAAGAGGTTAAGAGAGAGATTGAGAGAGAAATAGAATTAAGAATAATAGGGGAAGAAATAAGAATGAGGGAGAAGAGAAGAATAAGGAGAAATCAGAATTGAGGAAGAAAAAACCACAATAATTTCTGAATAATCAATATCAAAAGCTAACTTTCACAATGTCTCAACCAACATATAAATAGACATCAAATAAAAAACCCTAATCAACCTATTACCATAAACAAAACCGTAAATTGCTGAATATCCCATAATAATAATAAATAAACAAAAATCCCTAATTCTATCTTTCTTTCCCATGTCTCCATTTCTATGTTTCATCTGGAAGGAGTTTTTATGATAAGGTTGAGGTAGCGCACAAATTATAGCATAATCTCCTTCATTAAATTCATGATTCCTATTATGAGCATATGTAGCAAGTTTATAATTCTTTTTACTTGTATTAATTTTTTGTCGCATAGCGGCATAAAAACTGTTGAAATATCTTTATTATTTTTATTTTTATTTTTATTAGATGTTTTATGTAAGATCCCTATAATCATGGGATCATGTAGATAAGATCCCTATAATTATAGGATCCCGTGGATAAGATCCCCATAATCATGGGATCCCGTAGATTTTGGCATATTTTATGTCTTTCTTTGATTTGGTTTCCTTTCTTTGTTCCCTATTCATGTATATAAATATAGATCTTGGCTTTCAGTTTGAGTAAGCCAAAACCCAAAACTTCTTCTTTATGGTATCAGAGCAAAAACAAAAACCTTCATCTCCCCATCTTCCTCCCCAACGCCGCCACCTTCTCTCTCCCTCTCTCCATTTTCCCTCACCTCCGGCGCACCTCCATATCTTCCCAGCCCTTGCACCGGACCCCTCGGGTAACCCTCTATTTTTGACTCCTTTTATAGGAGAATTCCCTTAGGTTTTTTTTAATGATCTAAGGGTCCTTCTAGTGTTTTATTTTTTTATTTTTATTTATTTATTTTTTTTGGGCTGCCGGTGTTTGTTCAGCAGCATATTTGGTGGAAAGCCCCGATTTTTCCGACCTTACTTTTTCTCTTTCCTCCTCCTTCGACTTGTGGACCAGCCTTAGTTTGGTACTATGAATGATTCTAGTAGCCAAAATGACACTTTTATCTTCGGGCCGTGACCACACTGCCGCAATAGCCGATACTATTGGTGGGTATACTACTCTACAGATTGTTGTCCCTCTTGCTTCAACTCCTCCCAGATCATCTTTTCAGAACTTCAAACAGTTACAGCCCCAAATTGATCAGCTTCAGGAGCAGTTCGGAGCCTTATCTACCAGGGCTGGCTCTTCTACTCTCACGACTACTATAGCTACACGTACTCCTGCTGCTTATCATGTTAAAGCGGGAAAACCTACTTGGGTTCTGGATTTCGAAGCCAATGATCACATGACTGGTGAGTTGTCATTATTTTCTACTCCCGTTACCCCTGTTAATCAGGTTGTTAGTCTAGCCGATAGGTTAACCACCATTATTCGTAGCACAGGAAATGTTCATCTATCCCCTGATATTATTTTGCCATTTGTTATTTATGTTTCTGACTTTGCATTTAATCTTCTATCGGTTAGCAAGCTTGCCAAATCACTAAATTGTGCAGTGATTTTCTTTCCTCATTACTGTGTTTTAAAGGACCTGTGTTCGAAGAGGATTTTTGGCAGGGTATATGAGCACGATGGCATCCACTACTTTGGGGATCCTCCAATGACACCCCTCCACTTGCCCCAAGCCTTCAACCCTCTGTTCTTCCATTTTCGAGGTCTTATGATTTTTCTTTTTAGACTTTAAGTTTATAGCATGCTCGCCTTGGGCATGTAAACTTTCAGTATTTATGTTTACTTTTCCCTTCATTAAAAACGGCTTGTAAGGATAATAAGTTTCAATGTGAGATTTGTGAGCTTTCTAAACATACTAGAACCAGTTATATTTCTCATATGCATCGTGCACCTAGTATGTTTGATCTCATACATTCTGATGTGTGGGGTCCTTCTCCTGTTACTACTTTTTCGGGGAATCGTTATTATGTCACATTCATTGATGATTATTCCCGCTGCACATGGGTATATTTACTTAAAAAGAAATTTGAAGTTTTTCCCTTGTTCACTAAATTCCTCCAAATGATCAAAACTCAATATAAAACTATTGTTAGGAATATTAGGTCTGACAATGGTCGTGAATATGTTTCCAATAAGTTTCAGTCTCAACTTAACCAACAGGGTATTCTTCATCAGCTTACTTGCCCATATACCCCTGAACAGAATGGTGTTGCAGAGCGTAAAAACCGCCAACTAATGTCAGTTGTTCGATGTCTTTTAAGTGGTATAAATGTGTCAAAGTTATTTTGGCACATGACGATTCTTACAGCTACTTTTCTCATTAATCGTACCCTTAGTAGAGTCTTAAATGGAAAGGCCCCCTTACAAGTGCTTCAGCCTGATATTACTCTTTTTTCCATCATGCCTCAGGTGTTTGGATGTATATGTTTTGTTCAAAATCGTAGCCCTTCTTATACTAAAATAGACGACAAGGCCATTAAATTTATCTTTTTAGGGTCCTCTTCCATGTCAAAAGGTTACCGGTGTTATGATCCAGTACACAAACACACATCACTCTCTTGATGTCACCTTTCATGAGCATTCCCCTTTTTATGGTTCTAACACTATCTTGCAAGAAGCTTCTACTCTCGATCAAAGAGGCTTCTCATCTTGCTCGTCCTCTTCCTATTTTCCAAGAAGAGCCTTCTCTTATTGTTTCCTCACCCCCTTTGCATGTCTATTCACGCCGTCTTCGTGCTCCGCCTCAACTGCCTTCATCCTCCTCAGACTCAGGTACATCTCTCGCTTCTTTACATTGCCCAGACCCTGTTCCTGCTCCTGAGTCTCAGCATCCAACTCAAGACCGCAAACCCCCTGCTAGATTTGGATTCGCTTGTAGTACTGATTATCTTATTTCGCAATATATCTCTTATGATTGTCTTTCAGGGTCTTACCGAGCCTTTCTAAGCAAACTTGATTCCATTTCCATTCCTAGAACGTTGTCTGAGGCTCTCTGGAATCCTAATTGGATGTCTGCTATGAAGGTAGAAATGGATGCTTTGCAACATAATGAAACATGTGAGCTTGTATCTCTCCCTCCTAGTGAAAAAACTGTTAGTTGCAAATGGGTATTCAGTGTTAAATATCTGGTTGATGGTTCTATTGATCGGTATAAAGCCCGCTTGGTGGCCAAAGGATTTACTCAGATTCCTGGTAAAGACTTTAATGATACCTTCGCTCTTGTAGCTAAATTGACCTCAGTTCGTTTGCTTAGTCTCCGCCTCTCACAATTGGCCTCTTCATCAGCTTGATGTGAAGAATGCTTTCCTTAACGGTGATCTTCTTGAGACGATTTACATGGATCCTCCACTCAATTTTTGGGTTGAGGGGGAGTATGCCGGAAAGGTCTGTCGATTGCGGAAGTCTTTGTATGGATTAAAACAATCTCCCAGAGCTTGGTTCAGCCGCTTTAGTGATGTAATTCTATCCATAAAGTTTGTTAGATGTCATTTTGACCATACATGTTTTATCTGCCATTCCTCCAATGGTCGATGTATCATTTTGCTTGTCTATGTTGATGATATCATCATTACTGGCAATGACATCCCTGGGATTGCTCAAGTAAAGCTTCAATTGGCTAAAGCTTTTGCTGTGAAAGACCTTGGGCAGCTCAGATATTTCTTTGGAGCTGAGGTTTCTAGATCTAAGCAGGGTATCTCCTTATCGCAAAGGAAGTATGTCTTGGATCTTCTTCGAGACACGGGTATGCTTTGGTGTAAACCTGCTTATACTCCTATGGATCCTAATCTAAAGATCTCGATTGAATCCGAAGATCTCCTTTCTGATCCCTCGCAGTATCAGCGCTTGGTAAGAAGATTGATTTATCTTACCAACACCCGTCCTGATTTGGCTTTTGCAGTTAGTGTTGTGAGCAAGTTTATGCATGCTCCTCATACAGCTCATATGGATGCAGTATATCATATTATTAGATATCTTAAGTCCTGTCCTGGACTTAGATTATTCTATTCTTCTAGCAAGCAAGTTGGGCTACCTTGTTTAAGTGATGCAGACTATGCTGGGTCCAAGACTGACAGACGTTCCACATCTGGCTTCTGTACTTTCTATGAAGACCATCTTATATCCTGGAAAAGTAAGAAACAACCTGTAGTTTCGAGATCTTCAGTAGAGACTGAGTATCGTGCCATGACTCTAGGTACTTGTGAGATTCTCTGGCTTTGATCTTTCTTGGAGGAGCTAGGGCTAGGAGAAAAACAGTCCTCAGACTTGTTTTGTGATAATAAGTCAACCATCATGCTTGCTTCAGATTCTGTTCTTCACGAGAGGACTAAACATATAGAGGTGGACATTCATTTTATCAGAGAGAAGGTTCGTTCGGGAATTATCAAGCCGTGCTTTGTTCGTTCCTCTAATCAGTCGGCCGATGTGTTCACCAAATTTGTTGGTCCATCTTTGCTTCATTCCTCGATTACCAAGCTGGGCTTGAATGATATCTTCACTCCAGCTTAAGGGGGAGTGTTGAAATATCTTTATCATTTTTATTTTTATTTTTATTAGCTGTTTTTAACCTTTTATTAGATATTTTATGTAAGATCCCTATAATCATAGGATCACGTAGATAAGATCCTTGTAATTATAAGATCCCGTAGATAAGATCCTCATAATCATGGGATCCCATAGATTTTGGCATATTTTATGTCTTTCTTTGAATTGATTTCCTTTCTTTGTACCCGATTCTTGTATATAAATATAGATCTTGGCTCTCAGTTTGAGTAAGCCAAAACCCAAAACTTCTTTTTTAAAACCATGAACAAGCTGCACGAAGGAATCAACAAATTCAAGTGAATGCATACATGGAGGTGGATGAAAATAATAAATTGACTGGCTTGGCACTATAAATAACCTCAAAAGAACATATGGCAGTACTTTCATTAGTCAAACTAGTACAACAAACTCCATGATGGGTAAAAACAAGTTCTAAGTATCTAGGTGCATACTAACATTAAAACTAACCAACTTTCTTAGTCCTTGGTTCACAACCTCAATTTTCCTATCTGTCATCGGACAAGATGCAAAAAAAAACTTCAAATTTGTTCCTAAAAATGTACAAAGTGTCTTCTAGAAATTATTGCGGTACTTGATATCTTTATTCAACACAATGGAATTAGATGACTTATGATATTTTAAAATTCTTTCAAAACGATCTTGAGTGAATTCTTTTTGTGCAAACTAATCATTTGGTTGACTCAGTTTAACATATTCACAAGGATGTGTGAGATTTTGTGTGACAATTGAATATGATCCTGGGGCTAAGGTAATTGTGTTTTGCACAACATTCATGTGGCAATTCAGACACATCTTGACAAATAGAAACGATTACTTCCATAAAATCAATGGACAAAAGGCCCAAAGAATGTAGAGCCTTTGGAAGAGGGGAGTAGTTTTTCAAGACTTTTTCTCCTAACTTATAATAAGATTGAGGTGAAATAGTCTGATTTCCTTTTCCTAACACTAGTTTGAAGAGGACGAAGTTGCTCTACGAAGATATAGTCGCATGTACAAGGGTCATAATTTGCTCTTACATGTTAAAAGATATTGTCCGGATGATAATATCTTATTTATGTTAAAAACTACTGAAGCATCTGGACAATCAACTCTTCACATTCCAAATCTAACATTATTAATCATGACTTACACTTGCAAATGTGTTGAGGGTTCTGACCCTTTTATCATAAGATGGACTGATCTATCATACTGACTTTCAAAAGATGATACAATCATTGTAACTCACTAAGGCATGAAGCTACTGCAACTCTAACATCACAATCTATAATCCTTTAAAATTCTTTAGCAATTAAAAAAATACCCCAATGTTAAATCATACTCTTCAGGAGATATATATACAGATATTAATCTACTATTATAATAAATATTTAACAAAATAACAAAATATAAAATGTTACTCTAAAAGATATGAAAAAAAATATAAAAATATTTCTGAGCCAGGATCAAACTCAAAGATTCACTAAGATTACTGATAGTACGTGGTCAAACCTGGTGAACACAGCTACATGCGGATGTACAGGATATCGATAGCCATTAAGCAGAATCATTTCTTGAGCGTTCTAGAGAAAGCCTTCATTATTGGAGAGAGAGTGCAACTTGCATTGAAGCACATGAGTCCTAGCGTACTTTGCAAAGCAAGTGATTAGTTTTGTTAAGCAAACAAAGGAGTTCACTGATTGAGGATGGAATTTGAAAAAGCCTATTTCCAATTTTCAAAAGTAGTTGTTCCAAATTTATTTTCAATGTTGTTTTTGTTTTCCTTTCATTTTCACACCAGTTAATTCTATTTCTAATGGGAACCTTGGTTTGTACTCAACAATCTTAACCTTGCTTGGCTTATAACAAAGCCATTGGGGACATAAAACGAACAAAGCCATTGGGGACATAAAACGATATTCTCCTCTGACATCGTTAAGAAGATGTATCAACTAGGTCAGTGGATAAAGTTTAAAGAAGGTTGTTGATAGTCATGGTGAAATGGTAGGACATAAGAATGGTTGAGGATAATGCCAACATAGACCTCAAATTGAATCAAGTACACTAAATTATAAACTCGAACAATGCACAACTAAGAAATCTGAACGCAAATGAAATTAATTATGCTAGAAGTAATGCACTGGTGTCGGTACTTAGGTGTAAAATTAAAGGTGGAAACAATAAAAAAGATATATATTTATTTGGTTCAAGGGTTCAATTAGGACCATTTGCAATTTCTAAACTAATCAAATGGATAAAAGTACTAAAACAACTTTCTGAAGTCCTTTGTGATCAACCCAAATATTGAATGCTACTAAAAAAGTCAATCTCATTTTATTCGTTTTTTTATTTTTATTTTTTTTTGAACTGGTTCAAAAACTACTGGAATTGTTGAACTGGTTCAATTTTGAACTGATTTCAGAACTTGTTCAAAACTTGAATAGCTCTATACCCGAAACCAAACAGGGCTGGTGTAATTCTGGTTGGCACTTGGGCTGAAGTAATACTAGACTGGGCCAAACAACTAATCTGATCTGATCTGATCCTCTGATATGTATACCCTGCGCTTTCTTTCCAAATGGATAGAAGACCAAAACTTTAGGCTTGAATCAGTGACCTTCCAGCAATGACAACAACGAACAGCAGAATCGACTCCGACGATGGTCATGAAACTAACGATGGCGAGGGCAACGCGATGCGATTCTGACTACGGCTTCCGGCAATGATGTTTGTATCAGATTCCAATTTGAGGATTTGCAGCGGCGATGAAGGTTGACGACGACAAGAACTAACAAAAAGCTCTTTGACAACTGCGACACGGCAAGGAAGCTGTTGGTTTGAGTTCTGTAGATTGGTTGTGGGTTTGGGTACTGTAATTGTGTTTGGGTTTGTTGTTCTGTTTGGTGGGTTAGATGGCTTACTGCTGTTTTGGTGGAGGTGGGTTGGTTTGTTTTTGGTCTGGGCTAAAGTTTTGCAAGATTTGATGGATGGCAGCAGTAGTGGCAGCTAGGGTGTTGACTAGGTTCTGATTGTACGTTTTGGGTGGATGAGAAATGAGGATGAACAGACTTGTGAACAGTAGAGTCAACAACATGAATCTTCTGCTCTGATACCAATTGATGCAGCAACGGGTAAGAACGATTCGATAACAGAATTCAAATAAGAAAGAGGATAAGATAGAGACTGTGAGAGAGATAGAATTAGAATAATAGGGGAAGAAATCAAAATGATGGAGAAAAGAAGAATAACAGAGGGAGAAATCAGAATTGAGGAAGAAACCACAATAATTTCTGAATAATAATCAATAATCAATAATCAATATCAAAAACTAACTTTCACAATGTCTGAACCAATATATAAATAAACATCAAATAAAAAACCCTAATCAACCTATTATCATAAATAAAACCCTAAATCGCTAAAATATTCCATAATAATAATAAATAAACTAAAATCCCTAGTTCTATCTTTCTTTCCCATGTCTCCCAATAGTAGGTGTGGGCCATGTGGTCTTCAAGCTCTCGGGCCAGGCCCGGTTCCGGTTCTCCATCAATAAGACGGTTGATGAAACTTCACATCACTACCCAGACTGATGTGTTTTAGCATAGGGATGTTTGTATTAGGAATACAATGTATCAGGCAGAGATCAATCAAAAGCAGAGAGGATGAAGTTTTCAGTTACATAGGAGAAGAATGACCCGACATTAATTGAAAGGATCACCAGCAGCATACTATAGGTTAAACCTACGAACTATGCTCCTAAAAGTAATGATGACCCTCAACCTGAAGTATCAAAATTAAAATTCCACCCTACTAAGCGTACCAAAATTCTCAATAGTCAGTCAAAAAAATAACTCAAAACACATTTTCTTCAACTCCAAATTTCTAGAAGTAATATGAACAAAAAGAACTTGCAACACGATTCAATTCTTGCAACATGTCATCCGTATCTTCCACATAAAACATTGAAGTTGTAAAGCTCAACAACTCGAAGATTTAACTCTCCACTGTAATGAAAACAGAAATGAGAGAAAAAAGAAAAAAAGTAGTAGTTATTTCGGAGAAGAGAACAACAGAACACACAAAACCAGAATAAAATATAAGGTTATAGAAATTAAACCACAAAAGAACTAATATTAACACTCGAGGATAAAAAGTAAATCTCAGTGCTATCTAGGAAAAGGAATGACGTATTACCAAAAAAACAATGGAATGGACGTTTTCTATAACACTAAGGGAGGAGAAAACGGAGATGGGGAATCAAGCAGCAGACCCCTTCACAAAGAAAATACCACAACACTACCGTTCCTACAAATTGTTATTAGATAGATACAACAAATTCAAATTTCTAATTCCACAATAATAATCTAACCTCACTCTTGACAGCAGGACACACTCACGTGTGTGTCATAACAGCACCATATACAGTCAATCACTTAGATCTTGAAATATACCATGAGGTCCCTAAGAAACAAGAAGCCATCCAGGCATCAGGATACAGAAGCGGAATTTACTGGAACAGGTTAAATAACTGCAATCAAGTCCCCAAGCACATGCTGCTAAATATAGCTTCAACATGTTGCAACGAGAAAGCAGAGAACTCTCTAAACAGGCTGCTGACGCACATTCCACAAGAGTGTAAGTGTGTACATATCCATATGTTATAAGAACCTCAATCATAGTAAGTGAGGATCAAGCAGCATTCCTACGATGAGAAGATGGAATCATAGTTAGAGAAGTGTTCTCACACATTTTAAGAACCATCAATTTCACCAATGATCCGCTCATCGCATCTATATTGGCAAGTAAAAGGAAAAAATGCAATCTAAAAATATCTATTATAAACCATGCGAAAGTGTGAGGGTATAAAGTTTAACCGCTGGCATGCAACTGAACCTGCCTTTAATATGTCAATTTCCTTGTAATGGATGAAACGACAAAGAGTAAAGAGTCAACAAAAACCCTGCATGAAAAGAATATAAGAGAACTAGCAGCCTGCAAACAAGGAAAGGCAACTACAATCAGCAGCCTCACATGAAGGCAACGAAACAATATTCTCATTTCATCTTTCGACTCAATGGTGAAGAGAGAGTCATTAAAAATGGTTCCAATAACCTCATTTAGACAAAGGTGAGTTTTCAATTTAACACAACCACCAAAAGGAACGAGGGGATAGCAGAAGACTCTGCAAACACTAAGTACCAATAATTTCATTTACACAAGGAGTGTTACAAGAGTTAGAATTCATTTTTGTTTGTTAAGGGCATTACTGTAATTTTGCTTACTTAATACTAGTATAAATATATAAAATAGAACCCTGACATCCATCAGATTCTCCTCCTCCTCTCTAACCCTAAAACAGAGTGTCATTCACTTTAACTGAGAGAGGAGTCGTCTCTACACCACTTCAAGAGGTAAGGTAACAAGAAAAGACAAATTTCAGGTAAAAGATGGCATCCATAGACAAATGCAAATTGAAAGCCAACACTAACACCGGAATGACAAAGATAAAGAGAAATAGGAGACATAACTAGATGATGGGATATAATGCTATAAATAGCAATGGTTCTTTGGTCAACTCTTAACTACTTATCAACACATCTTCTATAATACAAATGGGAAACGCTATCTTCTGGAACAATAATCACCAATCGTCTCATCCAACAAGCAATTCACCCAAAAACGATACCAGCAATACTTTCCCAATAGATTATTAGTGTGTACACATAAAAGAAGCAAAGTTAACAGCCCGAACTGATGCATCACTAGATGGAATCTAGCATTATTCAACTGTCAAGAAATTTCGTATGATCCCTACAACATAACCCAACATGCAGGACAAAAATATCAACATGGCAAACAAACAAAAAGAGGGCAACAAATAAAACTAGTATTTATTTACACTTTTCTTTTAATTCTAAATACAATCTCAGCAACATAGAGTTGCTGCTAATTGCATTACACATTAGCCAATGGAAAAGAAGGCGGAAGCAAGATAGAATGATCTCCCCGTACTCTCCAAAATCCATATAAAAAAAACACAAATAAATATATCACACATAAAAACTAACATAAACAAATAAACAGAATGCACATATAAACGAGAACACTTGTATTGGGGTCCGCACGATAGACATCATAGACAAATAACTGTTTGATGTTCCAACTGCGGGTGCTCAATCAGTGAATTGCAATATATCCTCCCATACGTTCACTGCAACGAATAAAGAACAAAGAACCATATCACCAAGAATCGATATTAAAAAGAGATGTGTATTTGCAATTCAATCTATGTTGCATCAAAACTTATTTGGTTTAACCAAGATGGTCCAACCTACTCTTGGAATTCAAAGCACTGCTATTAACCTTAGACTAAGAATCTAATTTAAACAAGATGCATACAATTATCCAAGTATAAGATTGAAAATGCAAAAATGTACGACATCACATCTTAAAATATGATATCAACAATATGTGTCTCACAAAATAGATAAGACCATCATTTTAAGGAAAATCAGATATTAGTAGGTGAGTGCTTTTAATGACGCAAATCACCAAGAAAAGTACTGAGCACAGTCCACAAAAGGGCAAAAAATAACCGCAGTCAATCAATTGCAGCCACCAAACACCAGAAAGCAAACAGCTAGCAGAAGCTCCACCAGTTAGAAAAAATGAATAATAAGATAACAAGAACAAATATATATATATATATATATACACGCGCACACACTCAGAAAACTCATCAGCTGAGATGGCGTAATTACAGTGATGGCAAAACCCAGACTGGAAGTCGATTGTCCAAGAGTTAAGCTCAGTCTGAAAAGGAAATGCATCCTTAATTTTTTTTTTGGTTTGTGTGCGTGTGGGAGGGGGGAAGAATTTGCTTCCTTACAAAAAGGAGGAAGATAATACAAAACATAAGATACCAAGGTTTAGAGTGTATCCATAAAACACAAAACAATTTGGTTCAGAAAGAAGATGGAAAGGAAAGAACAAATAGCTTGTAAGCAGCCGCAACATCCTGTATCATTAACAATCTAACAGAAGCAGAAAGACAGAAAAGAAAGTACCAACAACAGCTATATATCCTAACAGAAACTTACAAGCAGAAGTGCTATAACAACAGCAGCTATATATCATTCGCACGAGACTTACAAAAATTAAAGGGTAAAAGATATCATTCGCATCAGGCTTATAAAAATTAAAGAGCAAAAGATTGATCATTTCCTGCAATCTAACCACACTTAGCTATTCCAAACGACCGTGCTAGAAATCCACCTTAAGGTCAGGTCCAAGCAAAGCGACTACAAACAAGCAAAATAACAAGTGTCGGTAAACACCAAAGAGAGTTTTAAAGCAAAAATAAAGAAAATAGAACAAAAAGCAAAAACAAAGAATTAGTTTTTGGCAGGATACAGTCCAATAACAGAAGTAAGAAGTCCAGCCACGCAAAATAACAGAAGTAAGAAGTCCAGCCACGCAGAAGGCTCTTTTAACTTTCACCAAGTCCATCTTCAAGTAATAGATTGCAAACAAGTAAAAAAGTAACGACCAACCAGCAAAAGGAACTCATTCACACATGCTACAAAACAAAAACTAAGAATAAAAGAATGTTGCAGATACGGGATTTGAAATCGTGACCTCAAGGTAATGAGCCTTGCAAGCAACCAAACTGCTCTCTGCCCCACACTGAAGAGAAGTGAGAACTAATAGACAAACAAGGATTTAATGCACCCCTCCACTATATATCTGTACAAATAGAATAGCCCATTTAAAGAGAACAGTAATTCTAATCCTCACCTAATATTTCAAGTAAGATGGATCCATCAACTTTTAGAACAAAAGGCAGAAAAGGTGAGAGAGATGAAGAAAGATTTAAACAGAGCAGTAAAAAATGAGTATAAGGGGAAATAATACAAAAGATACTGTTACACAACTTTCAAAATGTAAATAAGCACTAACCAAGACCAATCAAATGCAGCCTGCCACAAGGACCCAACTGCACTTTGACATTTACTTTAGTTTTTATTAAGATCCTGCATAAAATCCCCCCACTGTTATTATTCAAAATCAAGTTCACCTAAATTTGTTAGTAACAAATATAAAAATCATTGACAAGGAAGATAATACAAAACACAAAACACCCTCGTGAAAGAGAAGTGTAAGTGAAGAACCGAGGGGAAAAAAGAAAAAGAAAGAAAGCACAAAGCAGAGGAGAGCCTTTGCAAGAAGCCCTTGAAAGCACAACCATTCAAAAGTACTGTACCACAGCAAGGCCTTCAGCAGAAAATCTACAAAGCAGAAAATCCATAAAATTTGTACCTCAGAAATTAGAGATAGAGCGTAATTACTTCCAAGAAATCAAAAGAGAAGGGGGAAAAAAAAAGTTTTCAAGGTTCACATGTCCAGCTGGACAACAGGCACTCTAAAAGAGTTTTAACAATGATCCCACTATTACTCGTACGAGTGTTCAGATCACGTAATGTGAACAACTGGCATAACCTACAAGAAACAAAACTGCAGATGCACCTATCAAGGACCATTCTACACTTTGCAAGATATAGCTGCGGAGAACAAAATATTAACTTTTTAGAAGCCAACCAAAATATCAGTCTGGCTACTAGATACTATGTAAATATTTTCCACCCGTCACAAAAACTGGAAACTACAAAACCTAAAAGCCAATACCTTCTCTACATAGGAGTCCAGGCATGAAACCAGCAAACAATAAAAACTCATTCACATGCTGAAACAAAAAATTAAAAATTAAAAATTAAAAAATATAAAATAAAATAAAATAATACTGCAGAGACGGGATTTGAACCCATGACCTCAAGGTTATAAGCCTTGCCAGCTACCAAACTGCTCTGCCCCGCGCTGAAGACTAGAACTGAGTACACTATTATATACAAACAAGGATTTAATGTGCCCCTCCACTATATCCGTATAAATAGAATTAACCAATTTATAAATGAATTGTAAAGGAATTCTCTAATCCTCACCTAATATTTCAAGTAAGAAAGCTCTACGAATTTTCAGAACAAATGATAGAAAAGAGAGATAGAAATGAAGATTAAAAACTAAACACAGCAGTACAAAAAAGGGAAGATGGTGAAATAATACCAAATATACTGCTACAACTTTCAAAACGTAAATAAGCAAAAAACCAAGACAAATCGAATGCTGCCTACCACAAGGTCTCGACTGTACTATGACATTTCCCGAACCCTTGTGGCCTTCTTGAGATCATACATAAAAACACGCAACTACTATAATACAGGCAATTACGTAGGTCCGACAAGTTCGATTGATTGAAGACTACAAGAAGCCTAAAAGAACCTATCCACATGCAATCAATACATTCTGAGTTTGAACTAAATATTACCTGAAACCAATTCATCGGTCGATCATTCAATCAAAGCTCTCTGAATGGATCAAAGCATAAATTCCAAGCTTTCGAAAAAAAATCTAAAAAATAAAAGTTTAGAATCAAAACCAGTGTAGGAGCCAAACAAATATTAAAGGTCAAACTAAGGTATTTAATGAAGTCCATTTACCGGCAAATATCCACCATGATCTTCTTAGTTTCTCTGTCTGCCATCACTTCAAAAAAATGCCCATAAACTAGGATATGCCAATGACTTAATATCCTAACACAAACTTAATATAAGATTGATCATTTTCTGCAGTCTAACCAGGTAAAGGTTCTCTTAGCTCTTCCAAAAGACCATTCTCAAAATCCACTACAAACAAGAAAAATAACAAGCGTCTGCAATCAACAAAAATAGAGGTCAAGCAAAATCCAAGAAGATAGAACAAAAAACAAATACAGATAATTAGATACTCTTCTGTTTTCAACTAATCACAGGATGTACAGTCCAATAACAAGTAAAAAGCCCAGCCACAAAAAAGTTTCTTTAACTTTTGCTAAGTACATCTTCAAGTGACTGCAAAATGCAAAAAGCAAAAAAAAGTAAAAAAGTAACAAGCAACCAGCAAAAGAAACTCATTCACACATCCTGGGATTAAAAAAAAAATGCTGCGGAGACTGGATTTGAACCCAAAACTGAGAACTAATAGACAAACAAGGATTTAATGCACCCCTCCACTATATCTGTGCATACATATAGAATAACCCATTTATAGTGAATTGCAAAGGAATTCTAATCCTCACCTAATATTTCAAGTAAGAAAGATACATGAATATTAAGAACAGGTAGTGAAATAATTACCAAATATACTCTGTTACACAACTTTCAAAATGCAAATTAGAACAAACCAAGACAAATTGAAATGCTGCCTAACACAAGATCCAGACTGCACTATGACATTTACCGAACACTACTGGCCTTCATTGAGATCCTACATAAAAACACGCCAATACTATTCTATAGGCACCGAATACGTAGGTCCGACAAGTTCAATTGATCGAAGATTACTTTTAGTCTAAAAGGAATTCAAACTATCCACCATGCACTTGATACATTCCGACTTTGAAAAATATTACCTAAAACCAATTGAGTGGGTTGGTCATTTGATCAAAGCTTCTCTGGATTGTTCAACACATAAATTCCAATCTTTTGAAAAAAATTTAAAAAGTTCATAATCAAAATAGTCTAGGAGCCAAACCAAGATCAAAGGTCAAACAAAGGAATTTACTTAAGTCCATTTACCTGATACATAATTGTGTGATTGGGGAAGCAAATAAATATGATCTCAATTTTTTTCTCTGCCATGCTTCAAAAAAATGTACATATACAACTCAAGGCACTTTGACACATTACAACTCAGGTTTTGGGTAAAGATACGCCAATGACTCAACATCCTAATACAAACTAAAAGAAAAATCAATCATTTCCAGAAAAATCCAACAACTATAAACAAGCAAAATAACAAAGAGAGAGGTCAAGCAAAATCCAAGAACAAAAAACATAAACAAAGAATTAGATACTATCTTCTGTTTTCAACTAATCAATGAATGTACAGTCCAATAACAAGTAAGAACGCCAGCCATGCAAAAGGCTCTTCAACTTCACGAAGTCCATCTTCAAGTGACTGCAAACAAGCAAAAAAGTAACGAGCAACCAGCAATACAAACTTATTCACACGTGCTAAAAAAAAAAACCAAGAATAAAAGTAATGCTGCAGAGACGGGATTTGAACCCATGCCATCAAAGTTAGGAGCCTTGCGAGCTACCAAACTAAGTCTACCCCACGCTGAAGACAAGAACTGAGAAAAAATAGACAAACAAAATTTACTGTGCTCCTCCACTGTATCTGCACGAATAGACTAAGCCATTTATAATGAATTCTAAAAGGAAAAGTAATCCTCACCTAATATTCCAAGTAAGAAAGATCCTTGAATTTTAAGAACAAATGGTGGAAAGGAGAAATATATATGAAGGAAGAATAAACACAGCGATAAAAATTGGGAAGATGGTGAAATAAAATCAAATATACTCTGAAAAAACTTTCAAAACATGAATAAACACGAACCAACACAAATCAAATGCTGCCTCCCACAAGGTCCCGACTGCACTATGACATTTCCCAAACACCCTTCATTGGGATCCTACATAAAAACACGCCACTACTATAATACAGGCACCGAATGCATAGGTCCAACAAGTTCGATTGATCAAAGACAATAAAAAGTCTAGAAGGAATTCAACCTATCCACCATGCAATCGATGCATTCTCACTTTGAACTAAATATTTACCTGAAACCAATTCAATCAATTGATCGAATAAAATCTCTGGATCGATCAGCTCATAACTTCCAAGCTTTCGAAAAAATCTAAAACTTAAAGTTTAGAATCGAAACAGTTTAGGAGCCAAACCAAGATCAAAGGTCAAACTAAGGTATTTACTAAAGTCCATTTACCTGTACCTAATTCTGCGATTGATGATACAACTATTCCACCATGATCTTCTCAATTTTTTGTCTGCCATGTCTTCAAAAAAATGACAATAAAAAACTCAAGGAACTTTGATATATCAACTCAGGTTTTGGGTAATAAGATATGCCAATGACTCGATATCCTAATTCTTACAACGAAGAATATTCCCTGCAGTCTAACCAGGTAAAGGTTCTCTTAGCTTTTTTCCAAGAGTCCGTTCGCAAAATCAACTACAAACAAGCAAAATAACAAGAGTTTGTAAACACCAAAGAGAAAGGTCAAACAGAATCCAAGAAGGAGAAAACACAAAAACAGAGAATTAACAAGAAGTCCAGCCACACAAAAGGCTCTTTAACTTTCACCAAGTCCACCTTAGCAAAAAAGTAACGAGCAACCAGCAAAAAAAAAACCCAAGAATAAAATAATGCTGCGGAGAAGGGATTTGAACCCATGACGTCAAGGTTAGGAAACTTGCGAGCTACCAAACTTCTCTGCCACAGGCTGAAGACAAGAACTGAGTAGATAAGACAAACAAGGATTTAATATGCTCCACCATTATATCTGCACAAATAGAATAACCCATTTAAAATAAATTGTAAACGAGTAGCAATCCTCATCTTATATTTCAAGTAAGAAAGATCAATGAATTTTCAGAACAAATGGTGGAAAAAAGAAATATAAATTAAGGACGAATAAACAGAGCAGTAAAAATTGGGTAGATATTTCACCAAATATACTGTTACACAACTTTCAAAACATAAATAAGCACAAACCAAGACGAATCGAATGCTGCCTACCACAAGGTCCCAACTGCACTATGACGTTTCCAAACACTACAGGCCTTCATTGAGATCCTACATAAGAACACGCCACTACAATTATACCGGCACCGATACATAGATCTAACAAGAAGTCAAAAAGGAATTCAACCTATCCACCATGCAATCGATGCATTCTGACTTTGAACTACATATTACCTAAAACCAATTCAATCAGTTAATCATTCGATCAAAGCTCTCTGGATCGATCAACGATTAAAAAATTACAAGCTTTCCGAAAAAAAATATAAAACTTAAAAGTTTAGAATCAATAACAGTTTAGGAGCCAAAACAAGATCAAAGGTCAAACTAAGGTAGGTATATTTAGTAAAGCCCATTTACTTGTACCAAATTGTCCGATTGAGGATGCAAATATTCCACCTTGATCTTCTCAATATTTTGTCTGCCATGTCTTCAAAAAAATGTCCATAAACAACTCAACGACTTTAACACATAACATCGATCATTTCCTGCAGTCTAGCCACGTAAAGGTTCTCTTAGCCTTTCAAAAAGACCGCTCTCAAAATCAAACAAGCGAAAAACCAGAGAGAGGTCAAGCAAAATCCAAGAACAAAAAAATAAAACAGAGAATCAGATGCTCTCTTCCATTTTCTACTAATCACAAGATGTATAGACCAATAACAAGTAAAAAGTCCAGCCACACAAAAGGCACTTTAGCTTTCGCCAAATCCATCTTCAAGCAACTGCAAACAAACAAAAAAGCAAAAAAGTAACGAGCAACCAGCAAAAAAAACTTATTCACACATGTTAAAAAAAAATAAAAATAAAAACCCAAGAATAAAAATAATGCGACGGAGACGGGATTTGAAACCATGACGTCAGGGTTAGGAGACATGCGAACTACCAATAGTGGTAAAAATAGAATAACCAACTTATAATAAATTATAAAGGAATAGTAATCCTCACCTAAAATTCCAAATAAGAAAGATCCATGAATTTTCAGAACAAATGGTGGAAAATAGAAATATAGATGAAGGAAGAATAAACAATAGTGGTAAAAATTGGGAAGATGGTAAAACAATAACAAATATACTGTTACACAACTTTCAAAACATAAATAAGCACAAACCAAGACGAATCGAATGCTGCCAACAACAAGGTCCCACTGAGATCCTACATAAAACAACCAAATACTATCATTAAGGCACCAAATACGTAGGTCTGACAAGTACGATTGATCGAAGCATACTGGAAGTCTCACAGGCATTCAATCTATCGACCTACGTATTCAGTGAAATAATAACAAATATACTGTTACACAACTCTCAAAACGTAAAACTAAGGTATTTACTAAACGAGATCAAAGTTCAAACTAAGATATTTACTAAAGTCCATTTACCTGATACCTAATCATGCGATTGAGGATTTAAATATTCCACCATGATCTTCTCAATTTTTTGCCTACATGGCTTCAAAAAAATGTCCATAAACAACTCAAGGCACTAAGATACATTACAACTCGGGTTTTGGGTACAAACTCACAGAAACATCGATCATTTACTGCAGTCTAACCAGGTAAAGGTTCCCTAACCTCTTCCAAATGACCGCTCTCAAAATAAACTATAAACAAGCAAAATAACAAGTGTTGGAAAACACCAAAGAGAGACGTCAACCAAAGTTCAAGAACGAAAAATGAAAACAGAGAGAATTAGATACTCTCTCCTGTTTTCAACTAATTACAGGATTACAGTCCAACAACAAGAAAAAAGTCCAGCCACGCACTAGGCTCTTTAACTTTCACCGAGTCCATCTTCAAGTGACTGCAAACAAGCAAAAAAAGTAACGAGCAACCAGCAAAACAAACTTATTCACATGTTAAAAAAAATATATCCAAGAATAAAAATAATGCTGCGGAGACGGAATTTGAACCCATTACGTCAAGGTCAGGAGCCTTGCGATCTACCAACCCATGCTGAAGACAGGAACTGAGAACAAATACACAAATAACGAATTAATATGCCCCTCCACTATATCGGTACAAATAAAATAACCCAATTATAATGAAATGTAAAGGAATAGTAATCCTCTCCTAATATTCCAAGTAAGAAAGATCCATGAATTTTCAGAACAAATGGTGGAAAAGACAAGTATAGATGAAGGAAGAATAAACACAGCGATAAAAATTGGGATGATGGTGAAATAATACCAAATATAAGCACAAACCAAGACGAATCGAATGCTGCCCACCACAAGTGACTGCAAACAAGCAAGAAAGTAGAGAACAACCAACAAAAGACACTTAAATCACATGTGCTAAAAAAAAAAAATACCAAGAATAAATTAAAATGTTGCAGATACAGGATTTGAACCCATGATGTCAAGGTTAGGAGCCTTGCGAGCTACTAAACTGCTCTGCCACACGCTGAAGACGAGAACTGTGAACTAATAGACAAACAAGGATTTAATAAGCTCGTCCACTATATCTGCACAAATAGAATAATCCATTTATAATGAATTGTACAGGAATAGTAATCCCCACTTAATATTCCAAGTAAAAAAGATCTATGAATTTTCAAAACAAATGGTGGAAAAGAGAAATATAGACGAAGGAATAATAATAAACAGAGTGGTAAAAATTGGGAAGATGGTGAAATAATTCAAAATATGCACTTAAAAAACTTTCAAAGCGTAAATAAGCACAAACCAAGATGAATCGAATTCTGCCTACCACAAGGTCCCGACTGCACTATGACATTTCCTGAACACTACTGGCCTTCATTGAGATCCTACATAAAAACACGCCACTACTGTTATACAGGCACCAGATACGTAGGTCCAACAAGTTCAAATGATTGAAGACTACAAGAAGTCTACAAGGAAATCACCCTATCCACCATGCAATCGACGAATTCTGACTTTAACCTAAATATCATCTGAAACCAATTCAATCGGTTGATCATTCAATCAAAGCTCTGTGGATCAAACAACACATAACTTCCAAGCTTTCAAAAATAATCGAAATCTAAAACTTAAAGTTTAGGACCAAAATAGTTTAAGAGCCGAACCAAGATCGAAGGTCAACTAAGGTTTTTACTGAAGGCCATTTACCTGATACATAATTGTGCGACAAAGAATGCAAATATTCCACCATCATGATCTCAATTTTTTGTCTGCCATGTCTTCACAAAAAATGTCCATAAACAACTCAAGGCACTTTGATACATTACAACTCAAGTTTTGGGTAAGATATGCAAATGACTCAATATCCTAGAACAAACTTACAGAAACATCGATCATTTCCAGCAGTCAAACCAGGTAAAGGTTCTCTTAGCTCTTCCAATAGACCGCTATCAAAATCAACTACAAATAAAGCAAAAAACAACTAGTGTTTGTTAACACCAAAGAGAGTCGAACGAAAAGAAAAATAAAAAAAAAATAGAACAAAAAACAAAAACAGAGAATTCAATACCATCTTCTGTTTTCAACTAATCACAGGATGTACAGTCCAAAGACAAGGAAGAAGTCTAGCTTGCAAAAGGCTATTTAACTTTCACCAAGCCAATCTTCAAGTGACAGCAAACAAGCAAAAAGGTAAACAAGCAAAAAAGTAACGGACAACCAGCATAACAAACTTAAAAGGAATAAAAAGAAAGCTGCGGAGACGGGATTTGAACCCATGGCATCAAGGTTAGGAGCCTTGTGAGCTACCAAACTGCTCTGCCACACGCTGAAGACAAGAACTGAGAACTAATAGACAGACAAGGATTTAATATGCTCCCCCACAATATCTGAACAATTAGAATAAGAAGCCATTTGTAATGAATTGTAAAGGAATAACAATCCTCACCTAATATTCAATGTAAGAAAGATCAATGCATTTTCAGAACAAATGGTGGAAAAGAGAAATATAGATGAAGGAAGAATAAACACAGCGGTAAAAGTTGGGATGATGATGAAATAAAAACAAATATAAGCACAATCCAAGACGAATCGAATGCTACCTACCACAAGGTCCCGATTGCACTATGACATTTCCCGAACCCTTCTTTGAGATTCTACATATTAACACGCAAATACTATTATACAGGCACCGAATACGTAGGTTTGACAAGTACGATTGATCAAAGACTACAAGAAGTCTAAAAGGAATTCACCCTATCCACCATGCAATCGACGCATTCTGACTTTGACCTAAATATCAACAGAAACCAATTCAATCGGGTTGATCATTCCATCAAAGCTCTCTGGATCGAACAACACACAACTTCCAAGCTTTCAAAAATAATATAAATCTAAAACTTAAAAGTTTAGGACCAAAATAGTTTAAGAGCCACACCAAGATCAAAGGTCAAACTAAGGTTTTTACTGAAGTCCATTTACCTGATACATAATTGTGCGATTGAGAATGCAAATATTCCACCATTATGATCTCAATTTTTTGTCTGCCATGTCTTCAAAAAAATGTCCATAAACAACTCAACTCTCTTTGATACATTACAACTCAGGTTTTGGGTAAGATATGCAAATGACTCAATATCCTAAAAAAAACTTACAGAAACATCGATCATTTCCCGCAGTCTAAACATCGATCATTTCCCGCAGTCTAACCAGGTAAAGATTCTCTTAGCTCTTCCAATAGACCGCTCTCAAAATCAACTACAAATAAAGCAAAATAACAAGCATTTGTAAGCACCAAAGAGAGAGGTCAGGCAAAAAAAAAAAAACATAGAATTCGATACCATCTTCTGTTTTCAACTAATCACAGGATGTACAGTCCAAAGACAAAGAAGAAGTCTAGCTCGCAAAAGGCTCTTTAACTTTCACCAAGCCAATCTTCAAGTGACAGCAAACAAGCAAAAAGGCAACGGAGAACCAGCATAACAAACTTATTCACACATGTTAAAAAAACACGTAAAGAATAAAAAGAAAGCTGTGGATACAGGATTTGAACCCATGATGTCAAGGTTGGGAGCCTTGTGAGCTACCAAACAGCTCTGCCACACGCTGAAGACAAGAACTGAGAACTAATAGATAAACAAGGATTTAATATGCTCCCCCACTATATCTGAACAAATAGAATAAGAAGCCATTTGTAATGAATTGTAAAGGAATAGCAATCCTCACCTTATATTCAGTGTAAGAAAGATCAATGTATTTTCAGAACAAATTGTGGAAAAGAGAAATATAGATGAAGGAAGAATAAACACAGCGGTAAAAATTGGGATGATGATGGAATAATACCAAATACAAGGACAATCCAAGACGAATCGAAATCTACCTACCACAAGGTACCAATTGCACCATGACATTTCCCGGCCTTCTATGAGATTCTACATAAAAAGACGCCAATACTATTATACAGGCACCGAATACGTAGGTTTGACAAGTACGATTGATCCGAAGCCTAAGAGAGGTCTAAAAGGAATTCACCCTCCTATCCACCGTGCAATCAACACATTCTAACTTTGACCAAAATATCAACAGAAACAAATTCAATCTGTTGATCATTCGATCAAAGCTCTAGATCGAACAACACATAACTTCCAAGCTTTCGAAAATAATATAAATCTAAAACTTAAGTTTAAGACCAAAATAGTTTAAGAGCCAAACCAATATCAAAGGTCAAACTAGGCTTTTACTGAAGTCCATTTACCTGATACATAATTGTGCGATTGAGAATGCAAATATTCCACCATTATGATCTCAATTTTTTGTCTGCCATGTCTTCAAAAAAAATGTCCATAAACAACTCAAAGCACTTTGATACATTACAACTCAGGTTTTGAGTAAGGTATGCAAATGACTTAATATGCTAAAACAAACTTACAGAAACATCGATCATTTCCTGCAGTCTAACCAGGTAAAGGTTCTCTTAAGCTCTTCCAATAGACCGCTCTCAAAATTAACTACAAATAAAGCAAAATAACAAGCGTTTATAAACACCAAAGAGAGAGGTCAAGCGAAAAAAAAAAAAAAGAACAAAAAACAAAAACAAAGAATTAGATACTATTTTCTGTTTTCAACTAATCACAGGATGGACAGTCCAAAGACAAGGAAGAAGTCTAGCCACACAAAAGACTCTTTTAACTTTCACCAAGCCAAACTTCAAGTGACTGCAAACAAGCAAAAAAGTAACGGAAAACCAGCATAACAAACTTATTCACACACGTTAAAAATAAATAAAAAATAAAAAACCAAGAATAAAAATAAAGCTGCGGAGACGGGATTTGAACCCATGACGTCAAGGTTAGGAGCCTTGTGAGCTACCAAACTGCTCTGCCCCACGCTGAAGACAAGAACCGAGAACTAATAGACAAACAAGGATTTAATATGCTCCCCCACTATATCAAATAGCAATCCTCACCTAATATTCAGTGTAAGAAAGATCCATGAATTTTAAGAACAAATGGTGGAAAAGAGAAATATAGATGAAGGAAGAATAAACACAGCGGCAAAAATTGGGATGATGGTGAAATAATACAAAATATAAGCACAAATAGATTAACCCACTTATAATGAATTGTAAGGGAATAGTAATCCTCACCTAATATTTCAAGCAAGAAAGATCCTCAAATTTTCTGAACAAATAGTGGAAAAGAGAAATATAGATGAAGGAAGAATAACACGGCGGTAAAAATTGGGAAGAAGGTGAAATAATACCAAATATACTGTTACACAACTTTCAAAACCTAAATAAGCACAAACCATGACGATTCGAATGCTGCCTACCACAAGGTCCAGACTGCACTATGACACATATCGAGCATTACTGGCATTCATTGAGATCCTACATAAAAACACCCACTACTATTATACAGGTACCTAATACGTAGGTCTGATAAGCACGATTGATCGAAGCTTACCAGAAGTCACGCAGGCATTCCATCTATCAACCATGCAATCAATGAATTCTAACTCTGAACTAAATATTACCTGAAACCAATTGAATCTGTTAATCATTCGATCAAAGCTATCTTTTTCATTTGAAGCATAATTTGCAAGCTATCAAAAAAAAATTCTATAAGTTTTGAATCAAAACAGTTTATGAGCCAAACCAAGATCAAAGGTCAAACTAAGTTATTTACTTAAGTCCATTTACCTGATACCTAATTGTGCGATTGAGGATGCAAATATTCCACAATGATCTTCGGCTTTTTTGTCCGTCATATCTTCAAAAAAAATGTCCATAAACTCAAGGCACTTTGATACATTACAACTCAGGTTTTGGGTAAGATATGCCAATGACTCAATATCGTAGTACAAACTTACAGAAACATTTGATCATTTCCTGCAGTTTAACCAGGCAAAGTTTCTCTTACCTTTTCCAAAAGACCGCTCTCAAAATCAACTAAAAACAACCAAAATAACAAGTGTCCGTAAACACCAAAACGAGAGGCCAAGCAAAATCCAAGCCGACAGAACAAATAACAAAAACAGAGAATTAGATACTCTTTTGATTTCAACTAATCACAGGATGTACATTCCAAGAACATGTAAGAAGTCCAGCCACAAAAAAGGTTCTTTAGCTTTCACTATGTCCATATTCAAGTGACTGCAAGCAAACAAAAAAGTAACGAGCAACAAGCAAAAGAAACGCATTCATATATGGTAAAAAAAAAATATTAAAAAACCAAGCATAAAAATTATGCAGCGGAGACCGGATTTGAACCCATGACCTCAAGGTTATGAGCCTTGCGAGCTACCAAACTGCTCTGCCCCGCGTTAAAGACGAACTGAGAACTAAAAGATAAAAATGATTTAATGCACCTCTCCACTATATCTGTACAAATAGAATAACCCATTTATAATGAATTGCAAAGGAATTCTAATCCTCACCTATATTTCAAGTAAGAAAGATCCGCAAATTTCCTGAACAAATGGCCGATGGAAAATAGAAATATTGATGAAGGAAGATTAAACACAGCAGTAAAAATTGGAAAGATGGTGAAATAATACCAAATATACTACACAACTATCAAAACGTAAATTAGTACAAACCAAGACCAATCGAATGCCTGCCAGCCACAAGCTCTCTGGATCAATCAAAGAATAATTTCCAAGCTTTTGAAAAAAATCTAAAACTTAAGAATCAAAACAGTTTATGAGCCAAACAAAGATCAAAGGTCAAACTAAGGTATTAACTAAAGTCCATTTACCTGATACCTAATTGTGCGATTGAGGATGCAAATATTCCACATAATCATATCATTTTTTGTCTGCCATTTCTTCAAAAAATGTCCGTAAACAACTCAAGGCACTTTAATAAATTAAAACTCGGGTATTGGGTAAGATATGCCAATGACTCAATATCCGAATACAAACTTACAGAAACATTGATCATTTCCTGCAGTCTAACCAAAAGGTTCTCTCAGCTCTTCCAAAAGACCACTCTCAAAATCAACTATAAACAAGCAAAATAACAAGTGTCTGTAAAAACACCAAAAAGAGAGGTCATGCAAAATCAAAGAACTAAAAACAAAAACAAAGAATGAGATACTCTTCTGTTTTCAACTAATCACAGATGTACAGTCCAATAACAAGTAAGAAGTCCAGCCATGTAAAAGGTTCTGTAACGTTCACAAAGTCCATCTTCAAGTGACTGCAAACAAGCAAAAAAGAACGAGCAACCAGCAAAAGAAACTCATTCTTACATGCTAAAACGTAAATATATGATACCCTAAATTTGCGAGTAGCAGATATAAAAATCATTGGTAAGGAAGATAATACAAAAAAAAAAGAAGAGAGAATTGGAAGTGAAGTGTAAGGTAGGTAATATAAAAACACAAGATACCAAGGTTTTGCGTACATCCATCAACACTGAATAATTTTGCTTAGAAAGAAGCTGGAAAGGAAAGAACATATAGCTTGTAGGTGGAGAAAGAGTCAAATAATAAACCTCTCTAATGTGTTCCTACATCCTGTATCGTTACAATCTAACAGAAACACAAAGACACAAAAGAAAGTACCAAATTAGAAACAATTCATTATATGCATGTTTCTGCAGTAACCTAAAACCACAGTTGAACATAAAGCTGAAAACGAAATGCAACATAAGAGAATCTCAAAACACCGATGACGAAAAAGCTGATCTGATTAAAAAAAAAAAAAAAAACTCACATGGCCCAACTCAACAAAGGTTTTCCCAAAATAGCACAAATGTAAGCCAGAGGTAACAAGTAAACAGTTGCTGCAGCAGGTTGCAGGTAGCTCCTGCATCTCACCATATCAAAAGCAGAGGGATCTCTACGTATCAGAAGGGATCAACTGATGTCCAATCAGTCTCATCCAAGGAGAAGCACTGCATTCCTGAACAGCATCTTTAGTTAATCCTAAAGAGAGCTCAAAGTTGACAGTTAAAACCTAATGCATCATTACTAACAGCATATAGAATTATTGAACCATCCAGAACTGTCCTGGAACCCCTACAAGATGTAGTTACAAGCAACAGTAATAGCTATATCCAAAAAAGAATATATGTTCACGAACAACTCCAGGCACTTTGACACATTGCAATTCAGGTTTTGGGTAAAATATGCCACTCACTCAATATCCTAACACAAACTATCAAGCAGAAGGTTCTATAACAACAACAGCTATATATCATTCTCGCCATGCTTATAACAATTAAAGAGCAAAAGATTGATCATTTCCTGCAGTACAACCAGGTAGAGATTCTCTTAGCTCTTCCAAAAGACCGTACTTGAAATCATTCTTAAGGTCAGATCGAAGAAAAGCGACTACAAACAAGTAAAATAGCTAGTGTATGTAAGCACCAAAAAGATAGTTCCTGCAAAAATCAAGAAGATAGAACAAAAAACTAAAACTGCAAATTAGATTCTCTCTTTTATTCTCAACTAATCGCAGGATACATTCCAACAAAACAAGTAAGAAGTCCAGCTATTTAAAAGGCTCTTTAACTTTCACCAAGTCCATCTTCAAATAATAGACTGCAAACAAGCAAAAAAGTATTGACCAACCAGGCAAAAGGAACTCATTCACACTGGCGAAAAAACAAAAACCAAGCATAAAAAGAATTTTGCCAATACAGGATTTGAAACCGTGACCTCAAGGTTATGAGCCTTGCGAGCTACCAAACTGCTGTGTCCTGCACTGAAGAGAAACTGAGAACTAATAGACAAACGAGGATTTAATCAATGATGGGATTTGAGTGCCTCTTATGTATTTTTGTGCATTGTATTTGTGTGGCAAGCAACTGCGTGCATGTGTGTCCCGTGGGAGGAGGAGGATGAGGGCCCGGGGGAGTCCATCGATGAAAAATATTTGATAAATGTTTACAGAATTAGGAGTTCAAGTTTTTCTCATATAGCCAATGTTCTTAATGTATCTCTCTTTGGAGACAAAAGTACACCAAAGAACTAGAAGTAGAAGACTAGGTAAAGGAAAAGTTATTGTGATGTTAGTCATGGAGTTAAATTCAATAGCTGACTTATGATGCTACTATTCGCTGCAGCTATGTTATTCTAGAAGTTACAAAAAATAGAAAACAAGGTCGAAATATGTTCAATGTACTATTCTTGAAACAAATTTTAAGAAATCGAGTTAATACAGTCAACTTACTTGCAGAGAACAATTGGTATTTAATCCAATTAAAATCTTGCGAAATGGAGGAAAGAGGGTTCTAAATCATAAAGGATCTCGGGATGCGGAGGAATTCTTGCTAATTTGAAGAAACAGAATCTATGTTGACAATTCATGATTGGTGTTTATGCTTTTTTATTGTCCTTGTGTCTATTAAAATCGCATTTTCTAGTTGTTTCCTGGAGTTACCACATCTCAAGAATCTAAGAATCTAAGATGAAAATCAGCTCTGAAATTCTATTGCAACTTCAGAAAACTCTTTTTTTGATGGGCGGTGTAGGGAGAATTGGGTGTTAATATTGAGCTTTTATTGATTATTTCGGAATACATAGACTGATGGACTTTCATCCAGTGCAAATAAGTCAATTTGCAGATAAGTAGGTAATTTAATCAGCAACGCACAACCTACAAAAACCTAGGAACGAAGGATTTAAAAAAGGTGACTTCGTGTAAAGATTAAAGACATATAATCACTTGATAAAATTAGGGTGCCTCCTAGGTATTTGCATGCATTGTATTTTGTGTGTTGTTCTGAGATCATCCAAAATAAGTATCTTCCCAACAAATCCCTAATTGTATGGTCCTAACCCTAATTGTATGGTGAATTAGGTTGCTAGAAATTAAATATATAAGTGGAGTGTGAAACAGATAGAGAGTATCTATGGATTATCAATCATATATTTAATTCAACAAAAAGTTCCAAACCAGTAAAGAACAACATCATGAGAAAAACACAGAAAATCTTCGTCTAAAAAGTAAACACCACCCAATCACCAATCATTCACCACGAGAGAATTCCAATATGGCATGTTATTTTCTTCCAAATAAAAGATAAAACAGTTTTTCCCGAAACTTCAAATTAATATTGTAGGAATTCCCATGAATGTAAAATAATGGATAATCATACCTCGAAATTTTTAAAGATCAAATTATTTGTAATTATAATAATTAAATATTTAATTCAACAAAAAAGTTTCAAACCAGCGAAGAACATAGTTCGGAGAAAAACACAAAAAAAATCTGTCTTGCTCAAGACCTCATTCAACACAGCAGAATTCCAAGAAATATGGCATCAAAACATTGATATAACTATGCAATCGTAAAAGCTGCAAATTATTTTCTACCCAAACAAATAAACCTAGTATCTCTATAAGAACTCACAAAAGAGGATCGATTCGACCAGAAACCCAAGACCAAAACGAGTCGCTAATGGCAATCTGACGTTTCCGACAGAACTTATAGAGAGCGATGGTGGTTTTCAAGGGCTAGGATTAAGCGGTGGATTTTAATCTAACGATGACAAATTTCCCTATATAATATTGGCGTATACAATACGCGTTTATTAGAGGCGGTGGAAAATAAACCACGTGTAATATATAAATTATAAGTATTCCTTAATACAGTATATTACTCCGTATATATATATATATATATATATGAACAGGTCTACGCGCCATCACCGTTTGACCGTTTGTCGACATCACCGTTTGACCCTTGTCGATAACCGTGTTCGACCTTTATCAAAAGTAGAGTGAATAATAATAACAATAATATCCTCTGTCGTTGGATAAAGTGAATAATAATAATATTATTAATAATAATAATGTTATAAATAAATACTTAAAAATAAAAAATATTAATTTCAGATTTTAAGAGTATATATAAGGGCATTTTAAAGTTTATATAATTAAAATTTTTTTAAAAAAATAGATTGTGTATATGTATTACTAGTATTAGGGGGCAATTTGTACATATTTTTAAATATTATAAATTTATATATAAATTCTAAATAGGAGGAGTGTTTTTTGTGTTTTATTATTTTTTCTTTTTTGGTTTTTTTTTTTTTTGCACTTTACCCCTCTTCAGTTATTTCTCTTCACAGGCATTTCCAAAAACATCCCCGTCCATCCTATATTTTTTTTGGAGGTCGACTAAAATTTGTCAAATACATCCCCGTCTATGTTCCCATCTCAATACCTTCACATAACATCCATTTTGAAAATAATCTTAGAAAATATTATCCAAAACAGTGAGTTGATCGTGTGCATCAATTTCATTTTTTTTTATTTTTTCTATTTTCATTTCCTTCAAGTTGCCACGGGTTTAACATTTTGATTTATGAGTCAATAATCAGAATTAAATAATCCAAATAAGGATGTCAATCTAACCCCGTAACCAAAACCCAAAAGTTGAGTGAGAAACAAATTCACCCATTTTTTCAATGTAAAAAATTTATCAAAAGAATGAATGTCTAAACTCTTGTAAAATATTATCCGCAAGGGAGAAATAGCAAAATCCAAGGGACAAAACAAATAGTGACTAAATTCTAAGAGCTAGTCATGATTCATATAACTGGGTTTGTAAACAGATAGGATTAGGACGGGCAGGAAATATCCAGGAGGGGGAGGGGTTGAAAGTGAATTTAGTGTAATTTTTTTGTAATTTTAAGAGGGAAAAAGTGAAAATAAGAAAATTTAATGATATATAATAGTAATATATATATATCAGTGGGGGCAACCAATGTGCCTCCCGTCCCTGCGGAAGGGATCAGGTCTGAACCGGTCCGAACTGATAAGAAATATTCAATTAAGTCCGATTCAATAATGATTATTTTATGATTTAATTCAAAAAATGATTTTTTGTTAATCAAATTTCTGATCCGATGAATCAAATCCGAAAAGTATATAACCTTTTGTAAAAAATTTTAATCTCAATAGAGATTAGCAAACAATGACAACAATGATTAAGGAGAGATAGAGAGAAGCCGTTGAAAAAATAAAATATAGTAGAAAAGTAAGTTTTAAAATTTTTATTAAAGAAAAAAAAAATGAAGAGAGCCAAAATTGAGAGGGAAGAAGAAGAAGAATGATAGAAAACATTTTAATAATAGAGTAAAGTACAATAACATCCTCTGAAGTTTGGCATAAGGTTTATCATATACAAGTTTAGATTTTTTTTTGACAATGACATCCCCTTGTCAAAAATTGGATCCAAACAACCTGTTAAAAATGTAAAGAGTCAAGATTGCCCTTTAATTTTTTATTGATTTAAATTGTAAAATACCAAAACTCCTTAATTACACTTTTACCCCTAGAATACATTCATTACACCTTACCACACTCTCTAATATAAATATATATATTATATATATTATACGTATACTGTAAACCCCAAACACCATACCATAACGAAAAAAGAACCACCACCACCACTACAAAACAACAACCACTACCAAACTCACGACCTCTGAAACCCTAACCCTAACAAACCCACCACTAAATCCATTACTACCGTTGCCACCATCACCGCCAAGAAATCCATCGCTGTTGACCCCTCAAACATGGCTGCTGCATCAACGTTGTTGTCAAAGATGAAAGGCTCATCTCTGTGATGACCACGCAATTCTCTGGATCTTTCTCGAGTTTGGGTGCGAAGGTGGTTGGATTGATTGATGGAGGCGAAGACAGATTTAATGGTAAGGAATCGTGTTATAAAGACGTCAAGAAAAGGCCTTAGAGTCTTTACACAGTTGAAAATAGAGATCCCAGCAAAAAAAATCAGCGACTGGATAGGCACCTTCGACATCGCCGAAGAGGCGGCACGTGTTTACGACTCCCCAGCCCTTTCGAATTCATCGTCTCTGCCGACAACAAAACAACCGCAGGTCTGCATCCATCAACATAAGTGCACAGAGCCCTAGCCAAAGCAACACCGTCGAGTCCTTGGGCTTTGCACCGTCGTTGATCTTCCTCCATCGTCACTTGACCTTAACTTGGCGCATAGGGATGGCAATTTTTACTGCATATTCCGCCCCTTTAATAATAGATATAGGAACAATATTTATACCGTTGGGGCGAGCATGGATGCAAAATTCTGACTCGTCGCGAGTCATGGGGCGAGGACGAATTCTGATAAATACCTAGCCCGCCCCGGCTTATATACAATCCTTTTTTATAATATATATATACCCATATTAGTATAACTTACAACCTTAAAGTGATAAACACCCTTATACTTGCCATATCGTTCTCTTATCTGAGTAGTCAAGACTAAACAAAACTTATCTCTCTAACCTCTCATGTTCTCCATAACCAAACTCCCTTACAACTAAATCTTTTTTGGTGAGTGATTTAATTTTGTAACCAAATATAGAATACGTCGACTTCAAGTTTACAATCCTTCTGTGTAAACGATCTGCAATCCACCACCACTGCTGGAGGTCGACGGTAGAGCTAAAATTTGGAATAGGTAAGGGGTTTGTTTATCATGGCTTGGGTTTCTGGTTTGGTTATGCCTTGTGTGGCTTTCTATTGGTTTTCTCTTTGCTGTCTTTGGCTGTGTTTTTTTTTTTTTTTTTTGTCATGGTTATGGATTTTTTTTTTTTTTTTTAGAGGTGGCCCTTCTATGTTTGTAATATGTTTTCTCCTTGTTGTTTGTGTTTTGATTTAGTATATATAAGTGAAAATTCATTCACTGCAAGCTTTATCCTTCTCCAATTTGGGTAAGTGTAATACCCCTATATTTTTGAGGAATTATTAAATTAAATTAATTGCTTTTAATTGATTTATTTATTTTAAATTAATTTATTTATCTCCTTAGTTGTTAATTTGTTTATTTGATTTATTAGTATGATGATTATGTGTGTATGTGTTTAATTGTTAGTTGGTTCATTGGCGTGTTGACTTTGTTTGTATGGAATGACTTGGTTGTTATGATTATGTTTGTGTATGTGCTACGTGTATTTAGTTGTTTAATTATTTTATTTATTTATTTATTTAAGTTTAATGGACTGTGTTTTGAATGTTTGAACCATAGGATTTGGTCTTGGGTTATAGAAAAAGGCTTTAAAAGATTTGGGATGGTTTAAGGCCATGGATGTATGATTGATGAGTACTGAAAAGTGCGTATTTAAATACCTTAAGCTTAGATATTCTAGGACCTTTATCTATCTTATTTTTCCGTCTTAGACTAATTTCATGTTATTGTCCTTTTTAGGTGTTTATCCCCAAAACAAGCTAATTCAGTTAAATAAGAGCATTAAAGAATCAATTTTGAGATGAATGGAAGAAATGAGCAAAGTGGAAGCAAGTGGAAGAAAATTGAAGCAAAGTGTGGAAAGTCAGTAAGTTCGATCGATCTCAACATTCCTTCGATCGATCATAAAGTGATCGATCTAGGCTTCATCAAGATGGATCCAAACTTTTGTCCTTATCCAAAGATCTCACCATCTTCGATCGATCGAAAAAATTCGATCTTATCCACACCTACCACCCCACCTAACACTTTTGTCCTTTTCCCAAAAATATCCCAAAATATCTCAGAGATTTATCTTTATTCAAAAAGGCGCCGCCAAAGATGATCGATCTCTGCAGCATTCGATGGATCTAACCTAAGTTCGATCGATCTCACCTCAGTTCGATCAATTGAACCTCCTCAAGTCCGAATTAAATCAAATTCCAAGTCATTAAAAGTTGTCTCATAGTGCAATCATTGGAGGAGCCCTTGTGCATGAATCCAGACCATTGGGTGTGACACTTGAGCCTCCTATATAAAGATTTAAGCTACTTTTTACACATAGCTTTTTACACATATGCTCACATATTAGATACATTCTTAGAGAGGAAGAAAAGAGGGGAGAAGAGGCTAGAGACACACTCTTGGGAGTTCTTCCATTTACATCAAGAAGGAGGTCATTCCTACCAAGGAGATAGCCTTTGAGGGTTGGATGACTACTTCAATGAGTGGCTAAACATCTTCTTGGGGCTAGAGTTAGCCCTAAGCATGCCTTCTAGACTCTAATGCTTTGTATTTTGAGGGGATTTGAGTTGTAATCTTGTCTTGACACTTATTTTATATATGAATCTTGTTTATTCAATGATTTGTGTGGTTTAATACTTCCAATTGATCATTTCATTCTATCCATATGTCTATATATTCTAAAATAGATGTTCATGTGTTTATCTCTAGTTTTTGTGTTATTGATGCATGTTTATGTGTATTGATGCTATGGATCTAGAGATTGTCAAGGCATAATGCTTAATAGAATACTATTGTGGTTTATTTGATGATTCATACTTATGTCTTGATGGATTGTGCCTCTCACTTAGTTTATTTAGTTTAATTTTCATGCCCTTAGCTTAGTTGTAGTGTAGTTGCCTTAGTTGTTAAATGGGAGGACAATCCATGCTTGTTG